ATCTGACTTTATGCACACACACACTCACACACACACACACCTCATACCTAACATCCTTGCATGTATGTGTGTGTGGATACAGTACATCTGTACCTGTGGATATCTGTCCTGAATAATGCAACTGCCTTTGACTGCAAATTTATATCCCCATGACACTGCTGTCTTTGTGGGTAGTCATCCCATCACAGTACACACTGCGTCAAGCCTTCAGGGCTGTCATGTTTGAGAGAATAGCTTTGTTTTCCTCACTTCCCAAACTCCCACCTCGACTTCCCTCCCCAACTCTCTTCCCTCTTCCCAATTGTATGAAGTGAAGAGACAAGTAACAGCTTTGAAAGACTTCATTTCTGTGAATAATACATTACATATCTTCACCTGGAGCAAATTTAACTTTCATTCCATCTCTGAAATGGTTTTTTTGAGGAGTCTTTGAAAGTTGTACTCTGTGTGAAATTACTTCGGTATTTTTTTTTTCTTTTTACCCCTATAGCTACCTCAAAAGACCTACCACTGCAGGCATCAAATAAAAGAAGTAGTAAAATGTCTTTTGTTTCCACTTTGTGAAATTTGTTCAGGAAAGCTGGTATCACAGATGAAGTGGTGCCTGGTGTATGTGTGTGGGTGCAGTAAAGCAGGCCAGCCTGAATTTTCACACAGTAGAAACAGGAAATGGTGATGATTATCTTTTTCTTTCAGTCTCATGTACCTACATGTATTTTGCCAGAGTTGTCTAGTGCAAAAACTGATGAGGGGTGTGTTCTCATTCATCAGGTGTTTACAGATTGAAGTAGGCAGGAGGTCATGTGTCATGTGGGTCAAGTTTCAAACCACAAAGTGAGCACCAGAATTCAAGAAGGAAAAAGAAACTGAGCTTTTGAAACTGAGGCCCAAAGGAAAAAACATCAACAACAATCTTGGCAATATAGGATGGCATTGTTGTTCCACTATTCTGCTATCTTGAGACTCTCACCGCCAGCCACTCACACACACAAACTCATTTATACAAACACACACTCAGACATGCATGCCGTGCAGGGGTGAGCTGAGCTCAGACAGATGAGCTGTCTGTCACACTGTAATGTAAAATTCATGTGTTCGATGTTTAGATAGATAGTTAAAGCTCACACCAGACGAGAACTACATAGTAAAAAAATACTGCCTCAGTTTCAGTCAGACATCAGGCTTCAGACAAAATGTGCTTTTAAAGCAAAGACTGTCTGCCTCTCCTGCTCTTGCCAATTCCTCTCTTTTCCTCTCCATTTCAGTCTCAATTTCAAGGTACATTATTGCCCACACTTGAGAGTTTCATCATGCCGCTGCAAAATAAAGTGATTATTTACACTAAATTGCATACAGTAATGAATATACTATTTTCCTGTATTGTGCAATTGATAGTAATTACTGATATATCTAAACACAACTCACCATGAAACTGGATAATGGTCATTTTTCTTTTCACTGCTTCTCCTCTGCATTGTCGTGCCTGTTGGTTAACACCAAGCTCAATCTCCGGGGGGGACGTTTGCTTTCCAATGCACAAACCCACACACTTGTCAGTTAATGGTAGTTACTCAGCAGGAGGCAAAAACAAACTTTGGAAAAAAATATACCCATATGAGAGAAATGTCCAAAGTGAAAAAGAACTATGAGAACAATAATTGTGTAGAAACAAATTTGCAAATAAAAATGCAAATGTGAGCTCAACCAACCAACCACAATTTGTTGAGGTGTCCAGAGATAAAAGCTCAACCTTGGTGCAGTGCAGCACAGTCTGGAAAGAGCAGGATGAATATATCATTAAGTGTGACCAATGCTTTCTCAGCGGGGGGGTTGAGTGGATTTCAGTTATAGCCAATCAATTAAACTCGTTTCTTAATCTGCACAATTAGTGCAAGTCTGATATGTTCTGTAATTGAATTAAACATTTTGCCAATATGTATATTCTTATAAGTTACTCTTGAAATATATGTACGGATTAATGGGAAAGGATTCCCTTTAAATAATCTTACATTAACTGTTTGTAGTATACACCGATCAGCCATAACATTATGACCACCTAGGCACCCTGAATTTTTCATTCTTCTAACACACCAAATTGAGGACAAAATGTTCACTTGCTGCCTAATATATTGCTGATATATAGGTTGAGCAGCTTAGACTGCCTATGTCTCTGTAAGCCCACCCCTGTTTGGAGCCATGAAATAACTAAACAGAGGGTAAAATGTTTTCTT